GACCACACAGTTGTACTCACCTTCATTTTGGCAGTGATTTTATTTGAGTATTGGTACTATTGTTTGTCCATTAGTTTGAAAATATCCGCAGCTTCGATCATGCCATCTTCTTTTACTTTTGGCTGCTCCTTTCTTCATGGGTCTCCACAATGTGCAGAGAGATTTGCCAGTTGTTCTTACACTGGATGCCCTCCCTGACTCAAACACTGGCCAGATGTGTGGAGCAGAGGGCTGCCATCTATGGCGCCAAGGGGAGCAGATGTGGGTGAAAAGGGCCTTGCTCAAGGGCTCAGAATGGGGCAAATTAGTGTGATTCATCTTTTCTTATGGTTTGCGTGTTGATGTAATAGTCAGAGGATTCGAACCAATGACCTCCAGATCACAGTCTTGCCTTCTTTAACCACAGCACAGCCATTCTCTCTCACTTTGATGATACAATTTTTTATATATATATATATATATATATATATATATATATATATATATATAGTAATAACTAGTCTGAGTACAGCTTTCAGAGTGAAAAATGTGTTTCAGCTCCAACTACTGCCCTGTTTTTCAGAGCTGTCAGAGCACAGGACACTTTATTGAAAGAACAACCTTCGCCAAAAACACATTTGCATCTTTGCAAATGCTACAGCTGCTTTAAAGCACCTTGCAATCCCGGGCCATGCTTTTTTTTTTTTTGTAGGAATCAGTCTAAATGGTACAATACATTCCCTTACTGCACCAACTTAGGTTTTATTTTTATTTTGTTTCATACCTAAAGATACAGCAATCATTTGAGCAATGCTCAAACAACCTTTAGACAAGGTTCAAGGTGACTTTAATGTCATTCTCATCACATGTGGTACGTGAGGTGGAATGAAATTGTGTACTCAAGGTCCCAGTTACACCCAAAAATAGCAAAAATATAAACAATAAAAAAAACAGTATACAAAGATCTAACATATACAATAAATGATAACAATATAATATGGTGTATTAAACAGCAGCCTGAATATGAGTCTTGTGAGCATATGTGTATGAATATAGCAGCTTATGGGTAAGTGTCAAATCTCCAAAGAAAATGTCATTACAGTGATTTTTCTGGTTAGAGATTCATGAGTCTAACAGCCTCAGGGTAGAAGCTGTTCCTCAGTCTAGGGGTTCTACACTTAATGCTCCTCAACCTCCTTCCTGAGGGGAGCAGGGCAAAAAGTGTGTGTGCTGGGTGAGTGGGGTCCTTCATGATGCAGGTGGCCCTCTTCCTGCATCTGGAGGTGTAGATGTCTGTGATGGTGAAGAGGCTGACTCCAACAGTTTCCTGTGCAGCCTTCACCACTCTCTGCAGAGCTTCCAGATTTTTCATTTACCCTAAATCTATAGATATTTTGTAAAGGGCCTTTTATATGTTTAAATATACATTATAGGTAGTACAAACTGTAAAAGAGCATTATTCTCATTAGAAAAATAAAAGATTTACAGCATTAAAATTGAGGTCTGACTATTTTCCCTGGACAGGTAAACACAGATTATATAATTAAAAAAATGTGAGACATATGAATTCAAATGCAAAATAAAATACACACAAACAATGTTACTTACCTAAACGCATACACAGAGGGCCTCTAGATTCTTACTATGATTTCAATTTTAGTCTATCAAAACATTTTAAGCGCACGGTTATAGAAAAAAATACAAACTGTTGAGTCATTTAGTGTTCTTTTGTTTTCGTCAGTTGAACTGGTTTCTCAACTTTTCTTTTTTAAAACCAGAAATCTTCATATTTTCAGGGCATCTACAGATTTGTTCATTTCTAATGGTGCAAAATGAGAAATATGTTTGTTTATAAGCAGAACCGCTTTTAGAAACTCCCCTCGAGTAGTCAACCTTGAGAATATTGTTATTTGTTCTCTGCAAACTTGTGCAAATAGTATTTGTGGTAAAGAAGCCTTAAAAATAGCCATATGTCTGAGTACAGCATTTTAACATTCAAAACTCATTTTTTATTGTTTTGTGAGTATGTTGCAGAGACTAGGCTGTGAGAATTTCTTATCCTGTACTTTTAAGACTTAATTGTGAAGTAACTGTGACATCGTATATGGCACAAAACATGGCAGTTTTGTTGCATTTTAAGAAATTGCAACACGTCTACATTTTTCATTAACCAAAATTACTGCAACACTGATAAAGCACAACTATATTTTGTTAAAAAGGAGCTTGTTCTGTACCACCTAATAATGGTAAATGGACAGTACTTATAAAGCACCTTTCTGTCTTATCAAGATACTCAAAGCGCTTTACACTACAATCTGTGTCCTCATTTACCCATTCATACAGCACTCTGCTAGATCTCTACAATAATTGAACAAGTTATTCTAAAGAGACTAATCAGAGCTGTATCACATTCATACACCGATGGGACACACATCAGAGACAATGAGGGGTTCAGTGTCTTGCCCAGAGTCACCTGGGCATGTGACTGCTGGTGGATTTGAACCTCCAAATCTTGCAGTGGAGAACAACTACTCTAACCACTCAGCCACAGCCGTCCAATAATGTCAAAGGACATACAAAGTACATGTAAACATCTTTTATGTCATTTACATTTTATTAGATGTGGATTCTTGTAAACAAGCTGGTATAGAAAGTGACCAAATGGTTCTGAGCCCAAGGGCTTAATTTGTAAACTGATCAACGTCGGAACGCAAAAAGCAGCAAACCAGCTGGTGGGGGGGAGGGTCCAGGGGAACGTGCATGCTCACAAGACAGGACCCTGACAAGTTGTTTAATTATAAAAATATATATTTTGTTAGCAAAGTATAGAGTCCTAACATTTATTAAACATTACTTCTGTATTTACCAAAAAAAAAAACATCAAAATTGTGCTTTGACAAACTCATCAATAAAACTAAACATTTTGTCAATGCGAAAGAGGGAAAAGGGTGCAGGCATCTTTCTCGCTTTGAGTTTACACTGTTTGTTGCATGCGTGCTGTGGGTGACAAGCATCCAAAGCATCATAAAATCAGCAGCGGAGGTGTCGGAGTTATGTATTTATCGTTGCAGCAGCAAAGGTAAGCAACACGGTTTAAGCATGGCTCCCAAAACGACAAGGCAGTCATATTTGTTCATAATTTTATTATTAGTAAGCCTGAGAGTTGCCAGATCCGAGCAAACAATTGCTGGAATGCACCCTGTCAAAATAAGAAAGTTCCTGGAGCTCATTCCGACAGGATCCGGTTCAAATTAAGCCCTGCTGAGCACCACCACCTACAGTACTGTAGGTGCAGAATTTCACTTCCTGTTTTGGCTTCTACTATCTAAAAACTTGACATGTGGTATAAAAAATGTCACAATTATGGCTAAAAGCTAAAGCTCATGAAAACCATTTCAACACTCACCAAGCACTGTTAAAAATCACAAGTAGTTAAATCACCAAGGAAACAAATTGCACAAAATGGCATGACAGCAAAACTTTGTCACAGCTGTTCACCCCACGGCTCCTGCACACAACCAGCACATCTGCTGAGAGCAGACACGTCACACATTCACAGCAACCACATCTTCCAGTGCGCTTTTCCAGCATTTTCCCTTCAAAATCACTTTTCTGACCCTATTACAAGGAGGTGAAGGCAAATGTGACTCAATCTACTTCACATGCTCAATACAGAAGGTAAATGGTGGGACTGATGTGAACCTGTGGATGTTACTTTGACTCTTTTGGATGTAAACATTTGAAGGTGGGATAATTTGTGGAAACTGACCAACCCAAACTAGAGTTATAGCCTCAGGTAAATCTGGGGGTTTTGGAATGAATTGCACTATGGTTAGTTTTACACAGCAGAGGAAATTTCCCATAAAAAAAATAAAAAAAACTGTTTTAAGGAGTAGCAGAACCACAAGTCAATGCAGTGAAAATGTAATCATGCAAATGTGTAAAAAGTTTTTTTCTAGATTTTTGTAAAATGGGAGTTGAAGAAAATATGCTTCAGCTGGAATCAAACATAATTGTTTTTTAAATTGATTTATTCAAATGGAGTAATAAATTAATTAATGAAAAATATAAAACAAGCCATTTTAGGCATGTAAAAAAACAGTTAAATAATTGCAATTAAAAATCTAAATAAATTTCACCTTTCATGAATGGTGCCAAACTGTGCTGCCCTGTGCCAAATAGCAAAACGCCTCCCTGTTACTTTACTAAAACATCTGTAACTTTGATCTAGTTTCCTTCAGCATGAAGCTGCATGCTGATTCTTCTTCAGACAAAGTCATTTTACAGGTTACGTTCTCATGTAGGCTCATGGTTTCCTAGAGTCTTTAGTATCCATTGCTCTTTTAAAGGGGTTATATACTCTGCAGTATTGTAGGAAAAAATATTTAAAAGTAGTATTTTCAATTATTTATTTAAGATGGTCAATTTTTCCCCTAAGAAACACAAATGGTAATAAAGTTAAAGAACAATACAAGGGTTCATGAAGCTAGATTATGTTTCTTTGACAGGAAGTACACTTCTATTTATAAATTATTGGAACTTTTCCATCCATCCGTCCATTGATTATCTGTAACCGCCTCTTCCTTTCCTGGTTGCAGGGGTCACTAGTGCTCATATATTTGCTATTGTTGGATGTAACTGGGATCCTGTGTACACAATTTCATTCCACCTCATGTATCACATCTGGTGCAATGACAATAAACATACTTGAACTTGATATTGTAAGTTTTGAGAAAAAAAATCTATGGCTATCTGTATATTGCTTAACTGCTGTGTTTTGATGTGGGTTTGAAGTTCATTGGTATTGTGAACATGTTAATATATGTTTTACTGTTTTTAACATGTTCATGTATGAAGACCATCAGGGACAAGCTTTGAATCAACCAAAACTAATCTAAACAATTGAAGTTAAGACATCATTAGGTAAAGCAGAATGTTTTTGTGTCTCCTTTAGGCCAACAAGAGGTGACTGTCAGAAGAAATGCCGGTCCTAGGTGCCCTAGTACATCATCACAGGGACCATGGCGACTCCTTGGCCAATAAGGAAAGAGAGATGCTTCCGTGGCTTCGCCAGCCTTGCTAAATGGTCGGTGTCGTCCTTGATGCTCCTATGGTTACCTTGTGTGTTGCTGTGGTGGCCATGGCCCACTCAAGCTGAACAACTGGGCAGCGGGGCACACAGTGGAAAGACGCTTCATGGTGCTCTGTCATCCGTCGCATCCTCGTCATCCTCGTCATCCCCTTCCAGCTCCTCGGCATGGGGCTTCAACACGAGGCAGAGTGGCGGGCAGCTGGACTGGCTGCTTTCAGAGAAAGGACCCTTTCACAGATGTCCGGAGTATACGGAGTTCAGAGAGAGGTTCCAGCAGGGGTTTTCAACAAGATACAAGATTTACAGGTGAGAACAGCACTCATGTGTGGGCTTGTGTGTCAGAAGAATGACAAAAATAATAAACAAAAAATAATATAATAAAATAATAAACAAACAAAATAATTTAAAAAAGTCTAATCTACTCGTTCCATTTTGTGGGTCAGCCAAAAGTTGACTTAGTGTCTTAAAGTGAATATTAAATATTACTTTATTAAAGATTTTTTTTTCATTAACACAGTTTAATGCTGACTATAAAAGGTCTGTAGTAGAACAATTAATTAAAAAGTCTTATAAAATATTCTTACTGCAAAAATGTATTCTTGTAAAGGTTTTTTTTTTAATGTGAAATTTGACCAATCAAAAATAAATGTAATTGGAATTGGGGCTATACATAGTCGAGAGAAGGCTTTCTCTTTTAGTTAGCAATAATACAATTTAACATTGATAAAACAGGAAAGAAACATATATTTTATTATCAATAAATTTGATTCCACCTAGTTTTAATTGTTGCTTGAGGTTTAAACTGTTAAGTTAGGCAATTAATTTTGAATTACTCACAGCCAGGGGCACAGCACCTTAATACATTTTATGATTTATTTTTGGGCTACAACACATTCGCAGCGCTTCCATGATTCGGGTGGGCTTGAATCTGTTCTGGTAATTCAGCAGATAAACTCAGAGCTCTGAACAGTGTTTGGACTCTAAGAATGGATAATGGAGGAAATGTAAATTTCAAGGTGCAGGTCCAAAAAGACGATGATGCAACTTGCATAAGGTGTGATCCTGACATGGTTTTCTTCAACACTTCATCATTTTTTTCTCCTCTTTATTCTCTGATTCAGGAAACTTGCAGGATCATAGTAAACGTAGCTTAATTCTCAGTTGTTTTAGGTAAAAGAGCATTTCATGAGCAGCCTTTTCAGCTTAATATGGAAGATTATTTACTCAAAAATCATTTTCTGAAGAGCTGCAGCACCAGCTGTACCACACAGCAAACCTAATGTGAGCATTTAGCAATTATGTGACAGAACTCTGTGGCCTGTAATATTCTTTCTAAGTTCAACACAGGACTGTTTTTTTCAAGCATAGAAAAAATAAACCTTCAGATATTGTAATATTTTGAACAAATTGTATCTCATAGGGTTTTGCATCTTTGGTCTGTAGCTGACATGAGATAAATCTTAATACGATGCCAATAATCTGGTATAGAAATAAGAAAATAGCATAAACATTTACAATTTAACTGCTGAGTCATACTTTAGTACAGTTTAGTATAAGGTTTGTTTCAGCACGTGAGATGCAATGCAGTCTAACAAAGAATTCATTTTCTGCACTGAAATATATTAACCTGATAACCTGACAATTTACAAACAATGGCACTGAGAGGGTTTTACCTGTAGAAGTCTGTGGTATTTTATTACTTTTTTAAATGTTATAAAAAATGACTTTTTTTTTTAAATTTCATTTAAAGAAACAATCACTGGATGTAGATCGACAGCTAATACACATTAAACGAGCCAACTTAATTCAAGATGGCCACCACAGTTTATCGACTCTGTACCTCGGTCATTTTTACATAAAATAATCTCAAATCTGGTGTCGGGCCGTTCTCAGCACATACGCTGAGGGCTGCTCGTTGTGCAACAACTTTGACTAAAATGTTTAACATTAAATGTTGGAGTCTGACTTTTTTGTTAACAAAATGTTACATGAACCACTGGACTGATTTGAATGATGTGGCAGCAGATGAGTCATTCACCCAATATAATTTGAGCAAGACAAAATATGAGATTGTGCAAAACGTAATTTTCAATGTTTGATCAAAATTATTTCTTATCATAATATGATTTTAGACTGTGTTCCCACTACAGTCAAGAGCAGCCCAAATCTGATTTTTTTTTTTTTTTCCCCGCAATGCGACCCATCTCGGATTTATTTATGACAGTCTGGACATGAGAAATCCTTTCTTTTTTTTTTCAAAATTTGACACAGGTATATTTTCACATGTGGTACTTAATCAGACACATATCCAGTGTTTATCATCCCAACCTCAAGTAGTGGGCACAGCTGACCAAACCGTTAGCTTTGCTAATGCTAAACCACTAAACACTAGACGACTGTCACTCAGTCTGTGTCACAAGTCTTGGTCTACTTCCAGTTGAAGCTGCTTCGACCAATCGCACCTCGTCACGTGTCCTTGTAGTAAGCCATTAGCACGCCTAATGGACTTTTCAAGACACGCCCACAACAAACAAGAACAAGCTTGTGAAGTTTGTTAGCGGACTTCAAAATTGACTAATCCTAATTTGATGGAAGCTAATTTCATTGTTTCCAAAGTTCTCAAAAATACTAATCCACTAAACAAAATATTTGTTGTTAGTGAATTAGTGGAACGGTGCCCGCCACCCTGAGTCTGAACGGTCATGTTACATGTCATCCAACTTTTAATTCTTTTGTTGAAATCAGGTCTCTCTTCTAAATGAGTCCTCGAGGCTCAATGGGATTTACCTGTATAAATAAAGGTTGAATGAAAAATTCACTGAGGTTAAGTGGGTCAGTCTAAGTAAGTATTGATCATTCTGATGCCAACTTTGTGCAGTTTAAATCTAGGAACTCTGCATGTCTACAGCTACAGAACAGAAGTCAATTTTTTTTTTCCTTTTAATTTGCCATGACTGAAAATTTACACAAACATTTCACACAAATATTAGCTTTGAACCGTACCAGTACTATTTTGGTGGGATCGATACTTGAGTTTGTTCCTACCTTCACACCCATTTCCAAACGACAGTATTGTGCTGGAATATCGGGCAAGATGCAAGATCAAATGTAAGCTTAGCAGAAAAAAAGTCATGTCTGATAATAATTTGATTGGTTCTGATTGCTCAACAGCTTCAGAGATGACACACATGCTTGCCTATGAAGCATCTGTTCTTACTTTCTTAAGCACAGCATGCTGCATTCAATGTCACATCTTCTTCTGTGCATGCAGGTCTCTTCAAGACCTTAGAGTGTTTGCATTGGAATCTGGTGATTGCTATGACAGACCTTAAAATCCTAATTCCTCATCTTGGATTACAATCAGATTTATTTTTACATGTTTGCTCGTCATCTCTTCCTGACTTTGCCAGTTTGTATACATCCTTCACTAAATGCATCATACCCATCTCTGTATTCCCACATGTTGACCTATGGACTTGAGCATAAGAAATATGTTTATTTCTTTTTTTTATTCTTGGGGGGGGGGGGGGGGGTTGTTCTTTGATCCTGTCAGTGGTTGACTGTGACAGTATTTTAAAGATGTGTAGGTAAATCAGGTTTGCTTGTCTTGTTTCTTGTTGAGCGTGACATGAGAACATCAGTTTTCCTGCCTTCATCCTTCTCCCTCCTTCCCCCCCACTGTTTGCACTTCTTTCTTTCTTTCCCTCCCTCTCTTTCTGCCTGGAGTTGAAATGAATGAAAATGACAGCATCACTTTCAGATGACGAAGAAGAGCTGTGTAAAATGACAGGTGAAGGTTATGTGTCATATGTAGGAAACATGACTGAACTTGTATCAGCACGACACGATGAGGGAATCTCTTTATCATAACTTTGACTTTAGCAGGTTTTTGGCCAAAAAGTTATTTTTCATCTCTTTTTTTTTTTCTTCCTTTTTTGTCATAGACAGTGAACAAATAGATTAATCATCCAAAAGAGAATTTTAGATGTTATTTTTTTATTGAGACACTTTATAGCAAAGGTTTAGAAATATGTTACTTTTAGTAAATTTAGGATTAGACATGAAGATTGGTAAATTATTATTTGTTAATTACTGTTCATGTTACAGAACAGAAAACGGTGTGTATTCTACTTAGTTTCCTTCACACCAGCTTCTGATGCATATTAATTATATTAAAGGTTTATTCTTACATTTTTAGTGTAATCTGCACTTCCATTTGCATTACATGTACTTTCAAATGAAGTGCATCAGTTGCCAAGTAACCATTACAACAAACTATTGTTTCATTTACATATTTACGATGCAGTCACCTGCAAGTATTTAAAATTTGAAGGTAAAATAAACGTACAAGGCCAAGTTAGAAAGTAGATAAAAAGGTTGAGACTAAAATATTGTTACCCAATGCACATTTTGTTACTTGAGTTCTGAACTACATATCAAGTACTGGCCCACCGTTTTATGCAAACTAAAAAAGTGTGTGCAATGTCTCTGTGGTCTTATAAAGGACTGATTGTACTGCAGTAAACCATAACGTAGTATTTTCTAAGTGCAAACATTCAAACTCTACTTGTCAATCTTATATTTAGCCATTTATTTGAGATCCACTTATTTATTTTTTTTCATGATTTTCTTGCAAATCATGACACGAATACAAAAGCAGGAGTTGGGGCAGCTTTTTATAACATATCAGTAAATTATATAAGAGACTGAAAGTCCATATTAATGACATAATAGTGCAGCTAGACTATAATTAGAGCCATTTGCACTGATTTTACATCACTGTAAAAGAAAAGCTGCTCTGACTCACACAGTAAACACTGCAGCTCCATGAAAAATGCACTTCCTCTTACGTTCTAATTGTACCCATGTGTACCCGCTAATGGTGATATCTGATTATAATTAAGGAAAATAAGTGCTTGCAGCCTTTTTTTTTCTGCAACAACGTCCCACAAAGCAAGTGTAAAATTGTCTGCTCTCATTAGCTTTTAATCAGGGATAATGATGTGACTACATGGTAGCCCCATTTTTCCTGGCTAACCCTAATCTGCTAAACCTTTTAAATCGAAAGGGTAAAAGCCTTAAATAAGCTGGAAAGCTACCACTACAGTTACTCTTTGCTTTTCTTTGTGATCTTAGCGTTGTCTCGTATGGCTGTGCTCTGTGGTGAAACGTGCACACTAATGTAACAAGAAGACAGCGGGCAGGATGCCTCTTTGTGATAATGATGTATACGTCTAATTTTACAAACACCTCATTAGTACAGCCAGTCGTCCAAGAGGGAGCAGGTCTGAAAACGCAAAGGCCGC